AGTCTTCTGTTTTGCTACTTGTCCATTCTGGTCATTGGTTAGGTCTGTTTATGTTGCCTGGTATGAACCCATACCTCATTTGTTTTTTCTTCTTTAACCACTATACACTGGCTTTAACTTAAATATTTGATTACTTTTGAAATGAGAGTACTATCTTGAGTCTGCCTCAGATTTTCTCTATTGAGAGGTATTTTGAAATGATCTACCTTGTCATGTTTTTACAGTGAAGTGCTTTGATAGCATGTCAACAGATTGTCTTGTATGATGAGAGATTCTATGAAAATTAAGTATTTTTGCCTAGTAACTTGTAATGCATAAATGTAAAAAATTATTGAATGGGGAAAATTTTAGGTTTTATATTGATAGATCTTTGTAGCATGTGCTAAAGACTACCTTTCTTAGTTTTATTTTGTGGAGAGTTATGAAAAATAGGGAATTAGGTAAGTTTCTAAATTTGGGTTACTGGGAAGGTCATAGAAGCATATTTCATAGAGCATATGTGGTAAGCACTAAGAATCCTGTGTAGAGCTAGCTCTCCTGATGACAAATTGATATCCTCCTTTAGATATCATCTGTTTTGTGAAGCCCTTGCTTCAGTTTCTCTTCTCATTTAGCCATAGGCACACATATAGAAACCATTGAAGGCAGATATTTTTTACATGTTTGTAGCCCTAATGCTTTGCATAGCACCCAGCACATAGAGATTCTCAATAAATGTTTAAGGTGAGGGAAGAAGAGAAAAAGACAGATGTTTCTTGAGCGTTTCTATGTGTCAAGCAAGTAGATCTGTTATAGACAACAGTTGTAGCTAAAAACCCTCCTTATAAGAGGCAGATATGACTTTTCTCTTTTCTTCTGTAGTGCCTCAAAATGAATAAGTAGGGCTGACGAGTAAGAATGTATTAGCTATGTAGGCGTTTTGCACTGTTTTGGCACTTCTACTTTGGTGTGATTCCATCCCACAACTTGTAAGAGAGAAAATTATAAAAAGTGAAAAATATAAAGACCATTTATGCTTGAATAATTTTTCTATGCTCTGGTCCCTTCAAATATTATGTTTTAGAAAGACAAACAAAAATATTGTTGATTATTTAATGCTTTTAATCTAATAGGGTGGTAGTTAAGCACAAGGGTACTAAGGTTTAAGTTCAGACTTTGCCACTTACTATTCTATCAGTCAGATTATATTCACTATATATCGTGTCTTACGCTTGTTTATGTAAATAGTGTATGTATGTATACACATCATGTAGGACTTAGAACATAATTTTGTCATAGAGATTATTAGGCTGTACCTTTTTAGATATATTATTTATATCTGTGAAACCATAGAACCCAAGGCCCACATCAGATATACAGTCGCTAATTACACTGACAATGGTTTAACCACATCTACATTACAATTTTTCTGCAACATGGCTTCTACAGTTGCATTTCAGCAAAAACAAAGACCTTTATTCTTCATCCATTCGCTTATTCAGTATTCAGTGAGGGGCAAAAAATGCATAAACAAGCACTCTTTATTTCCTCATACTTATTTGTCAGACTTTCTTATATACCTTTATGGGGAGATGAAATAAAATTTGGTCGTCAGACTGTTGCCAGTCTACAACTTTGTCTCATGTTGTGTTATTCAGGGTTTTGTTCTCTAGGGCTTTCTTTCTGAGCATTTTAAATCAGTACCCTTTTTTAAAAACAAAAATAAATAACATGTTTATGAAATGCTTAAGTGTCAGACAGTTGTTAATGTTGATAATTCAACATTTTGACCTATCAAAAAAAAAGATAGGTCAAAAACAAAGGATAGACCCAGAATGGTGGCTCACTCTTATAATTCCAGCACTTTGGGAGGCAGGTGGGTGGAACACCTGAGGTCAGGAGTTTGAGACCAACCTGACCAACATGTTGAAGCCCTGTCTGTACTAAAGCTACAAAAATTAGCTGGGCGTGGTGGAGCATTTCTATGTGTCAAGCAAGTAGATCTGTTGCAGACAACAGTTGTAGCTAAAAACCCTCCTTATAAGAGGCAGGTACGGCATTTTCTCTTTTCTTCTGTAATGCCTATGTGTCAAGCAATCAGAAATGATCTGTTGTCTATAACAGATCTACTTGCTTGACACATAGAAATCCCAGCTACTTGGGAGGCTGAGGCAGGAGAATTGCTTGAACCCTGGAAGTGGAGGTTGCAGTGAGCTGAGATCACACCACTGCACTCCAGCCTGGGTGACAGAAGGAGACTCCATCTCAAAAACAAAAACCTGATAGGATAAAATTTAATAGGAGTAAATATTAAGTTCTACATTTTGATTTTTAAAATTAACTACATAGGTACTGTAGTACTGTGTATATGTTGGGGTTCCTTTTTTGAAATTTAATCTTGTCTATAAAGCACCAAAGAGTTTAAGATGATGTTGAGACTCCTGTCCCTATTCCTTTTCCTTCCTAATAGCTCAGTCCTGAAGCTATTAGGTAAGGCAGAACAATTTAGACAATGCACTAGTGGGACTGGGAGAGGTGAGCTGCAGTTCCCCAGAGTAAGATGTCAGAGCCCTAATTGAGTGAGGACCATATCACATCAGAGAATAGCCTAGTGTAGGGAGTTAGAGCCCAAGCAGCATGAAGAGAGAATTCACACAAGAAGGCAGCCTGGTATAGGGAGTCAGCATATAAAGCTGAGGAGGGTATCCTCAAGAAGGCATATAGTGTGGCATATAAGAACTTGAGCAGGATGAGGCAGTCATTGATACAATGCTTGGGGATCCAGGATGGGGAATCAGAGCTCAAATAAGAGTGATCTGTGTGGCATGGTAGCCTGACCTGGTTTGTAGGATCCCCAGCATGGTCAGACAGAATACAACCTGGGGATGTATTAGAGTGAAAAGTCAGAGCCTAACTAGGGTAAAAAGGGCATCCACTCAGAGCTGGTCTAATTAGGAAGTCATCATCAATGCCATGATTGTACCCCTGTCCCTTCTCCACTAAGAACTCAGTATTACTTGCTTCTAGCACAGATACCACTTCTGCAATAGGAATGGCGTAACCACCCACCACTGCCGGCCAAACTATCAGCACCTGTAGGAGTGATGGTCTTTACCTCATACCAAGGAGACTCCTGAAACACACAAAGGAGCGTCAGATTCTATGCACTACAATAAATGACAGTGTCCACTACAGTGCAAGAGAAGACAACTTTATGAATAGAACTTGCTTATTTTAGCAGAACTAGAACTGGAGCTAAATATGAGTCATCTATTGAACCACGTTTGCAAAGAGAAAACAAATGAAATCTTGGACTACAAAAATAGAAATGCAAGTTTGAAAAGGATGGTGATATATGCTGGTTTAGATAGTATCCTTTTAACATGTTTATTTGTTGTTGTTGTTGTTTTTGAGACAGTTTCACTCTTGTTGCCCAGACTGGAGTGCAATGGTGCTATCTCAGCTCACCTCAACTTCTGCCTCCCAGATTCAAGCATTTCTCCTGCCTCAGCCTCCCGAGCAGCTGGGATTACAGGCATGCACCACCATGCTTGGGCAATTTTGTATTTTTAGTAGAGATGGGGTTTCTCCATGTTGGTCAGGCTTGTCTCAAACTCCTTACCTCAGGTGATCCTCCTGCCTCAGCCTCCCAAAGTGCTGGGATTACAGGCGTGAGCCACCGGTAAAAGAAGTATTGACAGACTGGGATTGTCCCAAGAAAGATAGCCAGGAGATAGAAGCATGAAATCATCTTTATAAAACACCATAGAAATACTTGACGGATGTTTCATGTAGAAAAGAGGGCAGTGACTTGAAATATGTTACTGCACCTTAGAGAGCAGAATTTAGACATAAGCAGGCGAGAGTTATAAAGAAGCAGGTTTTTTTTTTTTTGAGGTGAAGTCTCACTCTGTCACCCAGGCTGGAGTGCAATGGCATGATCTTGGCTCATTTCAACCTCTGCCTCCCAGGTTCAAGTGATTCTTCTGCCTTAGCCTCCTCAGTAGCTGGGACTCAGGCGCGCACCACCACACCCAGATAATTTTCGCATTTTTAGTAGAGACAGGGTTTTACCATATTGGCCAGGCTGGTCTCAAACTCCTAATCTTGTGATCTACCCACCTTGGCCTCCCAGAGTGCTGGGATTACAGACACGTGCACCACCACACCCCACCAAGGAAGCAGATTTTGACACAGGGAAGAACAGCTATGGCTGTATAAAAATGGAGCTGTTTGTTATACCAGCATCCCATCTTTATATGTGTTCATACACTGGTTGGATGATATTATAAAAGTAATTCCAGCATAGAAAGATAATTTTGATTAGATGAATTCCAACAGTTACTGTAATGAAAGACGCTCTGATTCCAGAATAATCTGTTAATTAAACTGAGTTCTCTTTAGTTAATTCTGGGAATGAGGACTCTGAATGAGAATCTTAAATTTAACAAGTCTGTCTGTGCACAGGCACATTTCATAAAATAATTGAGCTAGTGAATGGTTATTGCTCATAGTAGACCTAGTAATAGTATAACAACTAGTTAATTTATTAATACCCACTACTGATGAAATATATACTTCAGAGAGAAATTTCCACTACACTTCTGAATCTTATGGGGCAGGAATAATGATGCTGTCTTTATTTTGGTACAAAAACCATATTTAGTGGAGTGGAATATTATCTTCCATTTTGTTTCTTTAACAACAGAAATTTCCTCTTTCATCTCTGATCATCTGTACTAAAATAATGCCTTTTGCTTAGTGGGTATTCTGTCAATATGTTAAAATGAACTGCCAAAATATTTTTGTGTACAGTACTTGCTTACTTGGCAACTGTTACATACCAAAAATATACTTTTCATACTTGGGGATATTTTATTGGCTCAGAGTCTTCAATATGAGTATTATTTAAGATTATGTAATTATATGAAAATATTTATTTAAATATGTAAATGGTGAGCCACAGATATCACCTGGCTGATGATCATTTGACCAAAAATTCTGGGTTTATGCTTTTTTTGTTTATTTGACTCTTATGTGTAGAAAAAGTTTCAAGGTGAATTCAAGTTTTCTGTGAGGTGTCGCCTTTCTTTTTTTCTTTAATGCACGAATATTTTTATTTATTTATTTAGAACAGATACTACACTTGATCTTAGCCAACCTTTCTTTTCTCATACCTCACCCTACTTAAGGAAGATGAGAACCTAATTAACAATACTACGATGTGTTGATTGTGAACCTCTTCACCTGCTAGAGTTAGTTTGATCAGGCTCCACCTAGAAGTCCTATTGCCAGCCTTTTGGTTTCAAGTGGCTCAGACCAGCTTCTCGGAAGTTATTGATGTTTTCTCCTCATTGTTGTTGCAGGTATGGCTTTTTCTGCCAGAAGGGTTTATTTATCCTTTCTTCCTTCTAATGTCCCCTCATTCAAGAAGTAACCATCATCATTGCTTCTGGGCAGTATTGTCAGCTCCTTTATCCCATTTTTCTTTTCATTGCTGCTGCTGTTCATTGCTTTGCTGCTCTCACCTGGTCTCCTCAAGGACCTGATCCTAATTCTTCCTGCCATTACTGGGCTTTTTGAACATAAGGGAAGGTATGTCCCAAGGAATAAATAACCATTTTCTCTCTTTCCGTGCTATGGTGCGTATAACCACACAATCCTCAGTCCTGCAATTAGTCAACTTTTTCAAATACTTGTCATCTCCTTTGCAGAAGAGCATTTTTTAGCAAGTCCCTAGACTTGTTTTGTTAAGTGTTTGTTAAGTAGTTTTGAGCCAGTGTTTTGTTAAGTAGTTATAACCCCTGAGCTTCTATCCCATGAATCACAATTCTGTTACCTCATAGTAAGTTATGTGCCCTACAAAAGTTGGAGCTCCTGGCCTTGTCCTTCTCTCATGTTCTAGTGTAAATCCTTATGCCTGTAAGGCATAAGCAAAGCCCTCTTCTCTCAGAATGTCTTTGTTGGGGAAGGGAGAACAATGTAGAGTCCTCATGCAAGTAAGACTCCTAGTAACCTGCTCTGATATCCTGGAATCTCTGAGACACCTCAGCCTCATGACTCTTGATACTTCAGGGCTTTGATACTAGAAATACTTCTGAAATGTATCAGAAGTTGTATCTGTTGCTTTGTATGTTATAATCACTACAACTTTTGCTGCAGTTACTATAACAATAGGCATGAGCTATTTACACATATACCATTTCTTCCTAAATTCACAATAAAACTTTAAACAAATAATAGACTATGTGACAGAATTAGTGGTGCATTGTTAAAGGCACAGGTCTGGGGGTAAATTGTCTTGGGTTCTAGAACCAATGGGTGGAAATTAAAAGAAGACAGAGTTTAGCTTAGCATGAAGAAGAACTTTGTAATAGAGATGTCAAAGGAGGGTTAGGAGTGATGAATTTCCCATCCATCCTTTCTTTTTTTTTTTTTTTGAGATGAAGTCTCACTCTGTCACCTAGGTTGGAGTGCAATGGCCCAGTCTTGGCTCACTGCAGTCTCCACCTCCCTGTTTCAAGCAATTCTCTTGCCTCAGACTCCCAAGTAGCTGGGATTACAGGCACTCACCATCATGCCTGGCTAATTTTTGTATTTTTGTAGAGATGAAGTTTTACCATTTTGGCCCGTCTGGTCTTGAACTCCTGATCTCAGGTGATCCACTTGCCTCAACCTCCCAAAATGCTGGGATTACAGGTGTGAGCCTCCGCACCCAGCCTCTCCCATCAATCTTTGTAGGTGGTAATATGTCTGCTGGCTCTTCACTTAACGGTGGTGTTATAGAATGTGCTTCATTTATTTTGAGGGGATTAAGTTCATGCCTTTTAAGGTTCATCACAAGCCTAAAATGCAGTTTACTTAAATTCTGGCTGATGATGTACACATGCTGAAATGAGGGTGGGCTAGGGCAATTTAGATTCTACAAGTTCCTACCAGCTCTCAAGGAGTTACATATTCATAACTATATTAATTATATGCCATACCTTAATTATTTTAATATGAAAATTGATATAAGAATTTTTTACAATACTAATGGTTATCTTTTGCCCACTGATTTTGCATTACAGCAAATCAGACTGAACTAAGTTCTACTGAAATTATAAGTAACTCAAGTCAAAACCATATGTGATAGATTTTTATTTCCATGACTATTTACTTTTTTCTTAATTAGCAAACTAAACCTTGGAGAAGTTTGTCCTTTGTACGTTACTTAAACAACCTTAACTTCTGTTAGAAAATTCTTTAAAGCATAGGTAACTATTTTTCATACTGGTGGAAATCATGATTATATTTAAAAATTTCCTGTTTATACTTCCCCTTTTAATATGAAAACATCAGTTTCATTAGAGTCACTCAAAATACTAGCTTTGAAACATTAATGAGTCATGTTTGTAGAAATGAATTGTAACAGATCATCCATTCATAAATTCAGCCCATTTCAATTTAAATGGATTACTATGATTCATTCTGAGTACATTGTGTAATAGTCCCAGGCTGTCCCAGAAACTATTAAAGGTTACTTTTTAAGAGAAAGTATGTTGTTTAAAACTTAGTTAAGAGAAAATTGCAATATTTAATGTTTGAAAGAAAAATATAGGGAAATTGAATTGTCATCAATTCTTCATGTTCCTAATAAATAAAATATCACTGTTACAGTTATTCTCTTGGAAGTATAAAATCTAAGCCAGTTTAGTGAATGCTATTATAATAAGCAACAAAAATATTGAATAAAATTTCTTTTTAATGACTGATGACAAAAGGAAATTAAGATCCAAAAAGATGAATGCGTGAAATGTCTTATATTAGCTTTTCAATAAATGTTTATTTTTTGTGTCATTCTTTCTTCCTTTAAAATTTTCCCTTTTAGAAAAAAGCCACTTACTAAAAGTAGATAAGAGCTAGGAAATGAGGAGGCTAGAAAAGCAAATTGACTTGAAATAGGTAAAAAATTGAAAGATTAGATAATTTTAAAGACAAGAAATATGAATTTGGATGTTTTACAAGAGTCAAAAGTTTACAGTCAAAAGAGCTAGAGAAGATTTTCATTTTAAGCAGATTTTAAGCTAATTGTTAAGAACTGCATATCTCAGGCAGTTTCCACTTAGTTTGATTTTAAAAGCTGCCTTTTGAATATCTAATACTAAGCAATTGTAAAATAAATATGAGTAAGTAGAATAATATGGCAACTTTTTTGTTGTTGTTTCTTACTTACTCACTCCATTCTTAACCCCATTACTCTCCCACATCTCTGATCTTTAATAACTGTACCTCTGCTTTTCTAAACATAGCTTTAACCTGCAGCTGTCTGTACCTAGCCTGAACCTAGCTAGGCTGAACCTAGGCTCTCCCACTGTGACTGAACTGAGCAGTTAGTTCCACTGAACAATCATTTCAACTTACTTTTCAAAAATCAGTTGCACTAGTTCTTCCATTCAGTGGATTGACTTGTCTTGGAAATTACTGAGCAAATTTTTTTAAACTTTTTTTTTAATTGTACTTTTAAGTTCTGGGATACATGTGCAGAACATGCAGGCTTGTTACATAGGTATACACATGCCATAGTGGTTGGCTGCATCCATCACCCTGTCAACTACATTAGATATTTCTCCTAATGCTGTTCCTTTCCTAGCACCCCCACCCCCCAACAGGCCCCAGTGTGTGATGGTCCCCTCCCTATGTCCATGTGTTCTCATTGTTCAATTCCTACTTATGAGTGAGAACATGGGGTGTTTGGTTTTCTGTTCTTGTGTTAGTTTGCTGAGAATGATGGTTTTCAGCGTCATCCGTGTCCCTGCAAAGGACATGAACTCACCCTTTTTTATGGCTGCATAGTATTCCATGGTGTATATGTACTACATTTTCATTATCTAGTCTATCATTGATGGTCATTTGGGTTGGTTCCAAGTCTTTGCTATTGTGAACAGTGCTGCAATAAACATACATGTGCATGTATCTTTATAATAGAATGATTTATAATTCTTTGGGTATATACCCAGGAAGGGGGTTGCTGGGTCAAATGCATTTCTAGTTCTAGATCCTTGAGGAATTGTCACACTGTCTTCCACAATGTTTTAAGTAATTTACAGTCACACCAACAGTGTAAAAGCATTCCTATTTCTGCACATCCTCTCCAACATCTGTGGCAGCATGTTTTTTAGGAGGGGGGACATTGGTTGTTTTTATTCATTAGATGACCATATATGTGGTCAATTATCTTTATGTAAAAGTAGTTGTTATATTCTAGGTAATAGATAATAATTTAGAAAGCTATTTTTCTGTAGACAAAGGCATTGCTATCTGCTCTTGATTTCTCAGACATTTTCTTCTCCTTAGAGTGCTGTGATCAGATTTTTATTGGAATCAAATTTTCTAAAGGCCTTGATTGGAGTTAGCTTCATTACTTATTTGCTTAGATTAAGGTTTAGCCCAATAGACATACTATCTTTATGGACCACTGCAAATTTTTCTAATATCTAAACATTTTTAGCCTATATATGTGAACAATTAAGGAAACATTCAATTATAATAGAATTTATTCCTGGCACTATGTAGGCACTTAATAAATATTTGATAATTGAATAAATGATCTGAGTAGATAGATACAGCATATAGGGAATGTCTTATTTTTTCTACTACCTGTGTTTTTTCTCAAAATATTTTTTAAGTTCTACCTTATCATAAAATTACTTGGAAACTGCCATCAAAGAAATCATGTTTGGGCACAGGTTTATTTCACTCAGCTTAACTTCAAAATTCCCATATTATGGGAAAATAATTCATAACAGTAGTAACTATTGTGATCATATACTAGTACTACTTCTAGATTGAATGGTTATTGCACTCTTGTCAAGGTCACCAGTAACCTCTCTGTGGCCAGAATGAGTGGTCAGTTCTCACTTCTCATCATGCTTGACCTCAGTGTATTATTTGAACTAGCAGCATTCAACCCAGTATATTTAACCCGGTGTCTATTTCCTCCTTCTTGGACACTATTCTGTTGACTGTCCTTCTACAGTTTACACTAGCACCTCCTTCTCAGTCTTTTTTTCTTCTTCTTTTTTTCTTTTTTAAGTAAAGACAGGGTCTCACTATGTTGCCCAGGCTGATCTTCAACTCCCGGCCTCAAGCAGATCTCCCGCCTTGGCCTCCCAAAGTACTAGGATTACAGGCATGAGGCACTGCACACAGTAGTGTTTTTTTTGATGTGTATTAATATTTAAGTTCAAAAGTTTGTAGCAGTTAAGTGAAATAAATCAGTCACAAAAGATAAATATTATATGATTTCACTTAAATGAGGCATCTAAAATAGTCAAATTAATGGAGACAGAAAATAGAATAGTGGTTGGGAAAAGTGGGGAGTTTTACTAGATGGAGGGAAAAGTGGAGA